TATTCATCCATGTTCATCATTCTTATAACCGATCATATATCCTCTCTGATATCATTGCGTAATCTATCCGTCGATTGAAGCCTTCCCATCTCCCTGATATCCTTTATGTGCGCATTCATATCTCCTAGTATAATTATCTCGCACTTTCCTCCTAATTCCTCAATGTCCCCTAATAAACACTCTACCATTGCCCGGTTTTCCTTTCTGGCCTTTGCTCCCGTTTACAAGTAACACCATACCAAGGAGTGTCATTTGCCCTGCACTTTCCCTTTTAGCCATATATGTTCCTTGCACTCCTGCTTGATCCTTTGCCAGTCTGTACATTTATGAATCAATGCCCCAATACCACCCCCTTTTCTGCTGCCTTCTGTTCTATTACAATATTCTCGCACTTAGTCCGGATTGTTGGGAGGTTGTTCCATGTCCCTAAGATGTGTTTCTACACAACCGTATAGCATCAGCCGCTCCTCCCTTAGCTCTTCTTCATTCTCTTCCCACTTCAGCCTATTCCTGCCACCCTGCATGTTAATATACATCACGTTTAAATTGGTTTGGCCCTCGTGGCTACGTCGATTTCTGCTCAGGACTCTACGTGTCTTAGATATTGATGCGACTTTGAAATCGTATCTGTCCATACCACCTGCCAAAGAGTCTTCCTGGTTGTTTTCCTCGTTACTAACTATCCTGCACCCTGAAGGGCCGGCGTGCCCCCCAAAAAAGCTACTGCAAGTCCTGCAAGTCGCCAACCCACCTCGTGACCTAGCCGCCCATCGAAGTGAATTCTGTCTCGTTGAAAACCGCCCCACCTATGCACCTCTCTGTTTATTTTCACCTCTTCAAAGATTTTCTCTCGACTCATACATCATGTCTTTTAGTTTGCGTTGACAACCGCTCTTTGCCGGTTGCCATCACGCACTGGTATCTCTGGTATTGTGCATATTACTACCTGTCCCTGAGGAGAAGTGGCGCGCATGTCATTGACCCCTTTCGCCAGTGCGGTTGCTAGTCCTGTCGAATCTTCATCTAGGACATTGTTTAAACCACCCGCGATTATCACGAGGCTTCCTCCATCAGCTTTAGTTGTGTTTTGCGATCACTCGCCTCATGACTGCTTTCAGCTTACGACTTGAGAACGCCCCTACTGAAACCCCCTGGTCACCTCATACTCTCTCTTTGATTGCTTCTGCGCATCGATTTAAATTCGAGTCCCCGGCGATTATCAAGTGCTGTGGCTTTTCAGCTAGAGAGTCCCGCACATAGAGGTTACTTTCACCTGTGACGCCGGCTGTTTTGTCCCATCCCACCACTAGTTCGCTGAAGCTAGGTCTTGCGACCATTGAACCGGATGAACCCGTTTTTTCCGGACCTGTTTCCTCTTTTTCTTTGCCGTTCTGGGTGCCGGTGGCCTACCGTGCTCTCTATCAGCTGCCCCTTTGTTCACCTTCGCTAGTGCCTCCTCGGCTGACCTGAGCTTTTCTCTCATCATCCTCGTTTTTTTCTTGCACTGTCGCCAACGCAGTCTCCAGCACGGAGATTCTCATCAGCAGTTCACTGTGGGCAACCATCATTTCCCTCATTTTTCCTTGACTTTACATTGTCTACACTTCGCGTCCGCTTCCTCTGAATTCGCGTCCGCACCTACCTTCATTTTCAATCCCACCCCGCATCCTGAACATTTTACAGTTCTTTTAATTATGTTTTTGACAACATTTATTCTTACGCATTGTCCCACTCGATAATTACAAAACATGGCGTACGACGAACCGTGCCCTAAGCAAAAATGTGTAAGGTCTACTACAAGAATTTGCGTGTTCGGTGTACGTGCACCTCCACCATAAGTTGGCAGAAAAAAACAAACGCACACACACAAAAACAATTAAATACTAGTGACGAACAACTACGGCTCCAAAAAATACCCTTGTTGTGATCTCACAACAGCTTTCGCTGTAAAACGGACGTACTTTCGGCGGCGGCTCGTGCTGATGGGAACTCACATCATGTCGTGATTCCGGAAAGGAAATACTGTTAGTTCCATTTTCTCATTGCATCTGTGCGTAAGTTTTAGCTCACTGATCGTGCCTCAGTACTTCGTAGTGTGACGTTCCAAGTGAAACCAGATTACATTTTAATGATTACAAACTTACGTGGAACCTACAGAATCGCGGCAAAAAAACACGTGAGTTGTTTTAAGCAACAATGCACGCATTTAACGTGCAGCTGGGCAATAACCTTCGTATTCATTCATCTCCACTTACGTTTTACCACTACTTAAGTAATCTTCCGAGAAGTTAACGCTACGGTACACTGCCAGAACACTACAAGGTTAGATGTAATGAAAATTACTAACCGAATCCCCGTTAGCAAGTCCTCCTTAACAACTTCTTTGAAATTCTACTCACATCATGTATCTATTGTCGGCACCGCTGCGGAAATACCTCGTGGGTCGCTGCCGCTTTGTACTTCCTGCCGCTTTGAAGCTTACAGCTTAGCGATTAATCACTAGCTCATTGATACATTTACGAAGCGCTGCTCTGTCTAACCACCGCAAAACCCCACAAACCGGCATGGCTGTGAAGCATCGCCGACGCTACACGGCACTGCGGCGCAAAAAATGACAGCCTCCTTGTGAAATATGAGTATAGAGAAGGGGTACTGCGTCCCCTGATGTAAAACTCGTGACGTCATCAACATCCCCTTGGGCGCAAACGTTGATCGCAGGTGCTACGTTTAACTCTACGTTCGTGACACCTCTATCGCCGCAGTACAAGCACCCTTACTTCTTTCGTGCCGCCCCTTCTTCTATCACTGCTACGCACCAGGAGTCACCACCGGTGAGGTCAATTTACCGGCTGTGGCCATGGGTAGCATCAGCGGCTTTCCCACCCATATTCAGCTATAGCACTTTACCTGTGCTTAGCAATTTTACGCATGTTTACCAGGAACCAGTGAGACTGCTACTCGCAGACCCTTATGTTTTGCATATAAGTCTTGTTTTGCTTCTCTTTTTAACACGGAAGTGATTTTATGCCTGGGCCTACCACGGCTACGCTAACGTATATCTTTCACAGATAGCAGATTCCAAATTGTGTAGTAACAAACTGCAACGATGAAACGAGAACGCAAGGATCTGTAACTGGGTGTCGAACCAGCAACCCCTCGTTAGGCAGCACGTAGCGTTGACCACTAAGCTATGAAGCATACGTGGTCATGATTGCGAACAGCAAGCTATTTATTTACACCATATACTATATGGTGGTCTTCATAGCTCTGCAGTTTATTAAGCGCGTTTTTGCCATGAAAAGCAAGATGGCATGATGGGCTCGGGTTGGGCGCGCTCTACAGGTCGTCACCTCTCGCGTTTCAATCAGCACCACCTCCAAGAAACACGGTACCTACTGCGCGCGCTCTTATCAGACTCGCGATTCGACAGAGCACGAAGGTCACATCCCTCTCTGCTGCGGTCACGTTTACAAAAGAAGCAGGCTGCTCAATTACGATAAAGTACGAATTTTCACAGTTCGCGCTCTTCCTGTGTATACATGTGCGTTCGTTTCGTACGTCTCTCCTTTTTTTTTTTTTTGAGCAGCACGCTTCAAGTGTTGAGCTGGGATAGTTGTTAGTGCATGCTAGTCTCCTGTATGCTTATTTCGCGCCTGCTTTCTGCTTGAGGTGCGCGCTGCAAGTTTCGTGGAGATTGCTGGTTGTAGCGTGACTTTAAAATTTATTGCTGTAGCAGTGCTTCCTTGGTCCTTGGGCCAAGGAAGGACTGCTACAATAATTCACAATAAATTCAATTCAATTCACAATAAATGCTCAACTACCTCTGTGAAGACATATATCACTTTCGTTTTATGCCAATTTCTTCGATAGAAAGATCAGCCAAGTTTGCTTTGCGTTGGCATGCATACAGAAGATTGCTTCTACAGAAAAAGTTGCTCAACCGAGTGCGCCAATGTGTTAAGACTCTGCGTTAAATATAGGATCAGCTTAAATTAGTGCACATGGATGACGGGTAACGAGTTATTTCTGCACTTCTGTAAACTTTCCTTCGAAACAAAACATCGGGATGACCTTGGTTAAGGGCACGAAAATGATTCAGAGCTAGAAATTGTGTGACGCCCGTGTGGTTATGTTTCGATGCGCTTTCAATAACAGCATGCACTCGGAATTTCTGGAGCACCCCACTACGGTGGCTATCGTATTCATGTTGTCGTTTGGAAGTTAAACCACTAGTATTGCCAAGTTTTAACTGTGTCGGCATTTAGGCACTTGCCATCAGCCGATGAAGCGATGCGATCACCACTAATAACAATTTTCGTAGTACATAGCACGCCGAGAAAACTAGAATTTCTCGGTTGAGCTTCTTCGATGGAGTTCTAAAGACTTACAAACTGTGATATATGCGCAAATTACAGTCTAGATTTTCAAACCAGCCTAACTTTGATGCTACAATGGTCACGTACGCGCTCAGTGCTATGGCGTTAGAAACAAACTTTTACTCGCCTACCTTATGTCACAAACTGCTACCACTAATTCAACTTATTTCAGCTTGCCAGTTCTGTCCCCTTAGAAGAGCTGACATGAGCCACAATTAGTGGTAGTGTGAAAACCACTCTCTCTACTCAATCTTTGTAGAGTTTTATGCAGCCGGGAGCTGCAACACAGAAACATCACGACGCTATTCTGAGGTGGGGGGAAGAGGTAAAGGAAGCCTACAGTAAGGCCCTTTCTTAGCCTCCTTTTCGCAGACACTTTCTTTTCAATTTGAGATAAATGAAGCGGCCCCCTCTTTCTCACACACAGGCTTAAATTTTTTCAGAGGTCGAAAATCTCAGAACACCGAAAGTAATAGTAGGAGGAATAGGTAGAACGTCGCTCTCCCATAGACTTTAACATAACACTTGTAGTTTGCGATGCCCGTCACCTTTAAAGGTTGTTTGAATAAATAAAGATCTAGGCAAAGACAGGTGAGAATATAGCAAGAAATTACTTTTTTTCAGGTCCACCAAGTTCAGTTGCAACAACCAGATCCACCTACTCCATTTTTTTCTATAGACACAACTCCACCTCCGCCGGGTAAGCACCAGTCTTGTTGTTATGATTTCATAGATTGTCCCGCGATAAAACGTTAGCTATGCGCAGTGCTGACGTTTCATGCTGTCTATGGCATGGCGAAAACTACGCGAGGGTAGGAGGGACCACCCGCCGACTACGCCCTGTTGTATTTTTATTTGCATGTCTGTCACTCTGTGAGTGTCGAGCCATGTGCGTAATTAAGCGCGCCTTCAGAATTCGGCAACCATACTATCATTCAAGAAATTGCGCATAGGTGTCTAGTAGTGGTACAGATATTCAGACAGAGAATAATAATGAAATCCTGAGAGGCTCCTCGAGAAGGACCCACTGGGGCCTTCGACTCGTCGCTGGTGGCTCCGTGTCGGGATCCCTCTGGGCGGCCGTTGACTGAGTATTTAGAGCAGTACTTGTGGTGGTGTCTTCCCAGTCATGTTCGCTGGTGTGTCCCGTAACGCAGGAGATGGCCAGAGCATGTGCTAAGATGAGTAATAAACGCCTCTTCGCAATCCTAGCCCTGTCAATTGATCGCTCGGTTAATCTGGCTTAGAAAACCCCTCGAGGGTTGGACCTGGTCTAGAGCACCCTAAGCGTGCATAAGGTGCTCTAGTTTAGTGCACAGAGGCGGAAAGCACCTGCGTTCTTTTTTAGAGTTGGAGATGATCTCGTGAAAGTTTAATTAGACATCCTCCGAACCCAATGAAGCCTCATTACCGTCACAGTGCGTGAGCTTTTGCACACGGTGGTGAGCAACCTAACTGAGGTTTGAATGACCCGGAAGCACGTCGTTGCCCAGGTAATGGTGTGATGTAACGTACAATGGCATAATTAGTGGTTGACCCACTTTTGAGAAGCACTGCCATTTCTCTAGCATGCATTCGCAAGATGAAGGCCCTGACGAGTGCTATAGGGAGTAAGTGTAGATATACGGCCGTGTAGAATCCTGTACCACCACCCAACCACCACCTGCTCTGCCACGTCGGCCGTTGCAGGCCGCACATAGGAGCTCACCCTTTTCACTCGCTGCCATGACCATGAATATACCGAAGTGCCCGTACTGAACTGCCTCGAAAAAGGTGACCATACCTACCATTTTCTTTAAAACCGCTTTGGTATGACCTAATTCCATTTCCACATCGTTTTGTGGGTAGACGTTTCTGGGGAAGGGAGCGATGACGTAGGTCAATCTTGATTTCTTGTCTAGCTTAATCGCCTCCCTGATTGCAACGAGGCCGAAAACCCGCCTCCTCCAGGAGGCGGGGCCGTGCTGAAGCACTGAGAGGCTCGTGATCTGTGCCGAACGCGGCACTCCTATTAATTCGAGGGTGGTATTATGAACAGCGAGCCTCGTGAGCCTACTCGTGTTCACCGTTACGGGAATACCCAGTACTTTATTACACTTTTCTACATCAGCCTAACAACCTTGTCCTTTTTGGTAATGGCGCACTACAAACATTATACCGCATAGTGGATGTGGCGCATTGGAAATGCGTGGTGCGCCCTGAGTAGGTTGTCTTCGCCTAACCCACCCTTTCTATTGGAGGCTCCTCTGGATAATCTGAGAATTTTCTCAGTTTTAGAGGTCAGAAGAGCAACACTTTCGGCAATAAAGCCTCTAGCATTGAGCAGCAATTAGAGAATTCTGATCGAGTTTATCTTGCGAACATTTTCGCCGGCCCGCGTCCGAAGGTATATGGGGATCTGTTCAAGCGGCACGAGACCCTGAACTTGCCGATGTGCATAACCCATAACATGATCTGGAACCCATAACATGAACCCATAACATGAACCCATAACATGATCTGTGGAAAGTCAGAGATCTGCGCCATCCCGAAAGGGTTAGGGCACGTCCAAGGCCTCCTGGAAAGCCTGTTCCATGGCCGCTTCGGAGCATCGCGGGCACCGGATCGCAATCTTGTCGGCATACAGCACGTGTCCCACATTGGAAAAAGCGGCCAATCGCTTCAAGAGTCTGTGCATTGCAGTGTTAAACTGAGGAAGGGGGCAAGACGACAGCCCACATTTTTTTTTGGGGGGGGGGGGGCAGTTCAATAATCTGTCATATACAATCAGCGTCAAATGAAGCGTAAAATGAATGGAACGTTGGCAAGCTTTCGCGTTGGTATTGTGCGCGCCATCCACTTATCACCATGGACAAGCGCGCTGTTATTACCGTCATCAGTAGGCGCCATGCTGTCGCTGAGAAACGTAGCTGGGCAGCGCTCCCTCGCCTGGAACCCCAGTTCTCTCGAAACCAGCGTCCAGCGGCAGGGAGCGACAAAGGGATTAGAAGATGGTCCTTGAGCCAATATCCCTACAAGCGATTCCTCGGCTTGTTTAGCGAGACGGCGAAGCAGACCAACCGCACAGGTCGTGTCTCCGCGATTCAAGTGTTTACTCCTTGGCTGCCCTTCCTGGGAAAGACGGAAGAAGCAACAAAACCACCAAATTGTTCCGGGAAAGAACCCCATTTCCCTTATCCTCAGTGCATTGCGTCGAAAAGGCCAATAACTATTCGGTGGACCATGTGCTACTGAATTATACCCTGTGGGTGGTGTCTTGTGTGTGTGTGATTGACATTGCAATCAAGGAGGAGGAGCCCGACAGGGTTTACAACGACGCTGCAGAATGCAGGACGTCGCTCTGAACTATGTAACGGTTCAAACACCATGCTCATTGTTTGTGAAACTTCTACCCTCATGTTGTAAATAATTGTAAATAGTGCCATAAACCTGTTTGTTTTTCGCAAGCCCATCTTGTGAGTGTTCGTTTCCTCAACTCAATGTTACACCACGCTACCACAAGAGACCGGGTCCAACGTAACCCTGACGTTCCGGCAAGCCACGTCAGCGGGGAAGCGTCGGCTAAACCCTGATCTGCAACAACTGGTGATCAGCGCTGGGATTCGAAGCGACAACTGGTGAACAGCGCTGAGATCTCCAAGAACTGGGTGGGTATTGGTCGGATACGAAGCTACAAGAGACAACAACAGTCGGCCCACGAAAATCAGCTGGCTCGAGACATGGATCACGTATAGGTGAGTGCTTGGCTTTCCTTTGAGTGAACCAGGTTCTAAAAGAGGGTAAATTTTAGAACTGATAGTTAACTTTGCCGAAGGGCTCAGTTTCGCCGTTTCGGGAAGTTTTTTTAGGAAGTAGCGAGCACTCAGTACAATCATGGACTAACGGGAGCTGAAGAAGCCGGACTTCTTGCTGTTGTGTGAGAAATTGGGGATCGACACGAAGGGTTTGGTACGAAGACCAATAATCATACAGGCAATTATTGATTTGGGGGCTGAGGCTGAGGAGCTCTGTGAAGCATTAGACCTCATCAAGCAAACAAAAAGACAGGAATATGAAAGACAGGAACGTCGCATGGAACGTGAGCGTGAGGCAAAAAGACAGGCACATGAAATCGAGATGCGTAAACTAGTACTCGAGTTGGGAAAGAGGTCAGGTAGCAGTCCCGAAGAAGTGATAGCTCTCCCCAACAGAAAGGCAGAGTTCAAGATGTCTAAGTACATCCAGCCATACGTGGTATCAGGGGATATTGGTCTGTACCTGGCAAATTTCGAACAGATGTGCGAGAAAATGTCGTTTGAGCAAGACACCTGGTCCCACAAGCTATTCTCGGTTCTGCCCTGCGAGGCAGCGGAGGTTGTTGCACGACTCAGTAAGGAGGACGCAGACAACTATGAGAAGGTCAAAACTTGCCTTCTAAGAAAGTATAGATTTTGTGCAGAGGCCTTTAGACGAATATATAGGGGTGCTAAAAAGTCTAAGAGCGAGAGCTATCCCGACTTTCTGTACAAATTGAGAGCGAATTGGACAGAATGGCTTAAGAGCACAGAGTCATACAGTGACAGGAACGCTGTAGTGGAGAGGATTCTATTAGAACAGTTTTTGCCTTGTCTCCAGGAGCAGGAAAAAAACTGGTTACTGGACCGGGGCGACATAAGTTCTGCGACGAAAGCTCGTGAGCTCGTGGAGGAGTATGCGTCGCGACGATATTATAGCAATAACCTGGGCGCAGATGGAGCCCACAATTCCAAGGCAAATTCAAGTAAAGGTTATGTAAAACATTTTTCGAGCTCTCGACATAAAAAAGGGGAAAGAAGTGTTTCTTCTAACAAATTTCAAAAAAAGGATGATAGCGAACCTAGCGAGAAGGGGCAAAACGCGGGAAAAGCGGAAAATGCTTTTGAGGTTCAGAAACCCTCGACTTGCATCAAATGCAATGAAACTGGTCACATAGCCACGAGCTGCCGAAAAGAGAAGATGGCGTTTTCATTTCTCAGTGACAGCGAAGAAAACATCAGGGTACTGGAGCCTTGCATGCATGAACTGGCAGTGAATGAAAAGCCATGCAAAGTGCTGCGCGACTCGGCAGCAACAATGGTTGTTGCGCACCCGTCGTATGTGTCACCATCCGACTACACTGGAAAGTGCTCGTGGATCCGCCAGGCGGTGGAAGAGCAGAGCGTATGCTTGCCCGTCGCAACCGTTGTAATTGAGGGCCCCTTTTGTAAACTACCAACGGAGGCTGCAGTTTCAGAAAAACTCCCTAAATTTTATCTGTACTTGTTCTCAAACCAGTCGGATATGTTATTGCGAGAGAAGGGCATTTTCTTCGGTGACAGGGTAGTTAAGGCATTAACCCGTTCAAAGGCGCGAAAATTGGCAACTAAGCTATCCTCGGAGCCAAATAATACTGAGGAAGCGCATGACGTAACAGTGGTGCAAATAGATGAAGACATTTCAGGCAACCATGCCAGTGAGGCTCCAGAGTTTGGTCAGCCAGAGGATGAATCTCGCGATAATGAACTTGAGTGTGCGCTACTGCCACCAGCATTAAACGGCTTTACTTTACTTTTGAGTGCGAACAAGGATATCTTGGCTACTGAGCAGTTAGAGGATACCACCATTCAGGAGGTCAGAGAACGCCAAAGAACGAGTAAACAGGCCAAGAAAAATATTTCTTTCCATCTGAGAATTGGCGCGTTG